ACAGACAGGCAGCAGCTAGTGAGGCTGGGCAAACTCACATCCAGGACTATCGCCATCAGCACTGGCGCCCCTCAGGGTTGTGTTCTCTCCCCACTGCTCTTCTCCCTGTACACGAATGACTGCACTTCAAAGGACCCCTCTGTCAAGCTCCTGAAGTTTGCGGACGACACTACAGTCATTGGCCTCATCAAGGATGGAGACGAGTCTGCTTACAGACAGGAGGTTAAAGAGCTGACTGTCACAACAACCTGGAGTTCAATACGCTCAAAACTGTGGAGATGATCGTGGACTTCAGGAGAAACCTCTGCCCAGCCTCCAACATCTTTACAAAATATTCCTATGTATGTCTGTACTTTCTTCTGCACTCGCACTGGAAGCTCCTGTCGTCAAGTCAAATTCCTTGTGTGTGTAAACATACTTGGTAATAAAGCTCTTCTGATTCTGAAATCTGACTTTTTTCTTACAGTTCTGCGTTTATCTCACAATTCAGACTTTTTTCTAAAAATTCTGAAATTCACAAGAAGGGAAAAAATTATTAAACTTGCGATTCTGAAGAGAAAAAAGTCACAATAACCTTTTTATTTGTATTATGTGGAGAAAAAAGCAGAATTTTGAGATGTAAACTTAAAATTCGAATAAAAAAGTCAAAATTGTGAGATTAAAATGCAATTATGAGTTCATAACTTGTCAGAATTGTAAGATAAAAAGCCTTATCAATAAATATTAATAATTTTTCTATTCCTATGTATGTCTGTACTTTCTTCTGCACTCGCACTGGAAGCTCCTGTCGTCAAGTCAAATTCCTTGTGTGTGTAAACATACTTGGTAATAAAGCTCTTCTGATTCTGAAATCTGACTTTTTTCTTACAGTTCTGCGTTTATCTCACAATTCAGACTTTTTTCTAAAAATTCTGAAATTCACAAGAAGGGAAAAAATTATTAAACTTGCGATTCTGAAGAGAAAAAAGTCACAATAACCTTTTTATTTGTATTATGTGGAGAAAAAAGCAGAATTTTGAGATGTAAACTTAAAATTCGAATAAAAAAGTCAAAATTGTGAGATTAAAATGCAATTATGAGTTCATAACTTGTCAGAATTAATATAAAAAGATAAAAAGCCTTATCAATAAATATTAATAATTTTTCTTTTTTTATTCCATGGCAGAAACAAGCTTCCATAATTGAATTATTGTTTACAAAATATACAAAATAATTAAGCCACAAATAAGAATGCATTAATTGCCCTGCATTAGATTTCAAAAATTATCAAAGCGGCATCTGCAAACAAATTAGACCTCAGAATTAATTTCTAATGTTTTTTAAACATTTGAGATATTATTATTATTATTTTAGACTACAATTTACCACATAATTTGCTACTTAATCATTATTTTATCAATGCAAAGGTCAAAATTTACTTTTTGGGGCCCCTGTAAGTTGGTGTGAGCTTTAAATATCCTTATTGTCACCAATTCAAGCATTTTCTTATTTCAAAATTTACTTTCAAAACTTTAGGGCAAAAGCCATCAGCTCTCATTAACAGAAATATATGTGAAGTATGTAATTGGTTGCATGCAGCATTTGTGTCTGTCAGACAGGGCAGGTCAGATTTCAGATTTTTGAGTCATTTAACACCACTTCACCCCAGAACACTGTACAGTGCTTTCTGCTCTTAAGTAACCAAATGCTCTCCAGCTCTTACAACACATTTTAGGAGGACAGAGGTAATGCAAAACTTTACATGTCCATGGGAAGAGCTGCTGACAGGGATCGATTTTCCTACTAGGTTGTACAAAATAGCATAAAAATAGCATACAAAATAGCAGTTACAATGAATAAATGAATGAATGAAACAATGTATCATCATTTACAATAGCAAAAGTAGTTGTGAAAAGTTGTAAAGTTATATTATAAATGTATTTCTAATATAATAAATTAGATAGGTTAGATAGCTTATAACAGGTTTTGAATTCAAGAGGACTGCTTACACATAAATAGATTATCTAGTAATGCAATATTACATTATCTATTACATTATTAACTCATTTTAGACTAATCCATAAATTGAGCACAAAACGACTGAACTAATTGAATGAATGAATGAATAAATAAAATAGGCAAAATATGTATTTATAATGTAGTTTTTAAGTCAAATGTAATTTTAGTAAAGTAAATGCATGCTTTAAACTCAAGAGGACTGCTTAAATATAAATACATATTTATATAATACATCACAAATTATGTATTTATAATATTTTGTGACTGTAAGAATGTAACTCCTGTTCGATTTTAATTTTAATTTTGAGGGGAAAAAAATAATGACTATCATACATTTTACCATGATTTACAGAAGGCACCCACTAAAACGTCTGTGAAACCGTTTGTATAACAAAAAAATCTTGTCAGGCATATTTAGGACATTTAAAAGCCTCTATTTAATTATCACAGTACAGCCCCCAAAAAGTGTAATTTTAAATCTTTAGCCTACCAATCCTTACCACTATCCTAGGCTTTACCCATTTGTCAGCAATAAGTTTTAATCATTTAAAATGCAATAAAACGTTGTATAATCACTTATTTTCTTTAATGTATTTTAATAGGTACGGGTCAGAATAAGTATGTTGTTTAATTTTTACATGTGCTAGCCTATGCTGAATGACGATGGAACATTTATTTCACCCATATTTTGACATTTTAGTTTCGAAAATGTTATTTGAAACACTTTATTTGCATCTAATATGCTTTCTGTGTGTATAAAATCGCTTTTGTACATTTAATTTGATGCAGACACCAAAATGGGACGACCTGGCATGTACACCTTGCACAGAAAATCTTCAATCGACTCTTCATGCCTGTTTTGGAGAGAGTGAATCGCTCACCGATAACCTGGATGATCTCAGCCAGAAGCACGCCGTCGCTCACGTCCTGCTGCAGGTCTTTAATCAGCCGCTTGTGTCCCGATTTGGCCAAGTAGTGATTCGCCCAGTCCGTGTAGATCTGTCAACACGAAAGGAGAAAGTTCGCTTAGATATCCATCCATCAAAAAAAAAGTTTCACACAACTAGGATTCACGACATTCATGCAAGCGTGACTGCGCGAGGATTGAGCGCCGAGTCTCTCCGCTCTCTATTCAAATCCGCTCCATTGTGCCTCATTCAAGTTATTCAGCACCAATAACGCTCAAATTCTCCCGTCTGACATCACAGAAAAGCCCCTTCACTGGGGCAGGTGGAGGGAGACCCAGAGGGAGCTTAAATTAAACCTCTGAATGGGTTTGAAAGGAGTCATGTTTGGAGCGGGTCTGTCCAAAAACATTCCCGCGTCCCCTTACAAGTAAAGGAAAGCGGTAAACAAGCAGTGCAACAAGCATTAAAACCCACGGAGATGCCAAAACCGTCACGTTATTTTGGAAAATAAAGCTTCCATAAAACATATCTTTAACTTAATTATGCAAATCTTCCCAGATCGTGATGTAGATATGTGGGGGCGTGTTAGAACGAGCCGTTTTAGGCAGGCGTGGTTGACTCTTAACTTTTATAAAGAATATCTCTTTGGATTTGAGACTTTAGTCTTTGCAAATTTACAGATCTTCTTTATGCACCAAGAGCTTGTAACACTCCAAAGAGAAAGGAAAAAATGAAATCGCATCATATGACCCCTTTAATTCAAGCATTTAAGTACATTTATTAACAAACATATGACCATGGCTGTTTTATACACGTAGTAGCTATTACTATTTTGTAGTTTTTATTACATATACCATGATATTCTTTGAACTTACATGTAAATACCATGATATTTTCCCATTTGACTTTAGTATCACAATCTGAAATAAAATAATAGCCAATATAGGCTATAACATTGCATAAACCACAATTAACATGAATGAAAAGTTTTTTTGTTTGTTTGATGTTTTGCAAGCTTTATGCACATAATCAATGGCCATGCAGGCAGTAGTCAAACACATTCCCACAACAGGGGTTGAAGAGCTTGTGTTGTGTGTTTGATGAGTAAATAAAGCCTGAGTGTATTATTGCAGTGTTACTCATGTGAGGAATCCGTTTTCTTGATGGGAAAAACAGGTGCACCCTGAGTCCCTGTGCCATCAAAATAAACACATCACACGCTACCCCTCGATCGCTCTCGCTGGAGTCATCTAGACATAAAACAGCACACAAAGCCCATATAATTATGGAGAGCAATGACCAAAGTCAGTGGAGAAATGTACAAATCCAGCTCATGCTTTGAAGGTTTGTGGGTTAAATGAGTCAGATGTAATTAAAGGTGAGGTGAAGGCAGTGAAGTGAAGGTAAGGGTAAACATGCCTTCAAGCAACAAAAGATCTTTTGAAATTACAGATGACACTTGTCTGTCAGACTGAACCTGCTCACCACCATGTAAACACTAAAATAGCTATTAATGTCATAAAAAAATGTTGGTCAAGATACAAATTGAGTACATGCATTGCATTCAGTTTATCTGTTAAGTATTCCTTTCAGTCAATTACGACCATATCAACATTTGTAACAATGCCGTAATAAGGTTTTTTTTTTTTTTTTTTTTTTTTAAATGTTGGACTGGCTGATACAATTTTGGCATGTATGTAGAATTACACTAAAACAGTGTTTAAAAAGTATGTTAAAAAGTATTTGTTCAACAAAGTATTTAACTATTAAACAGATTTTCTTGAATATTTATCATTATTTTTTTTATATATTTGTCAATACTATGCATTTTCTTTGTAAAAGTTGAACTGAATACTTTCATTCAGCAAGGATGCATTAAATTGATCAAAAGTGACAGTACAGTCATTTACATAGTGTTACAAAATATTTCTATTTAAAATAAATGCTGATTTTTTAAGTTTCTAATCATTAAACAATCTTGAAAAAAGTTTCCACAAAAATATTAAGCAGCACAACTCTTTTCAACATTGATAATAATGAGGAATGCTTCTTGAGCAGCAAATCATCATATTAGAATGATTTCTGAAGGATCATGTGACACTGAAGACTGGAGTAATGATGCTGTAAATTCAGCTTTGCATTAAATACATTTTAAAATATATTAAAAAATAGGAAACAGTTATTTTAAACTGTAATATGTTTCACAATATTGCTGTGTTTACTGTATTTTTAATCAAATAAATGCAGCCTTGGTGAGAATAAGAGCCTTCTTTCAAAAAAGCATTAAAAATACTTTTGTGTGTATTTCTTTATGTGTAAAGACAGTAAATTAATGTCTAAAACGGACTTTATGAAGTTAATGTAGTGTATGTATCTGTATGAAAACAGTGTTCAATGGGACATTTTCCTTTAAAGCAAAAAACAAACAAACACTTGATTACTCACAAGCATCCATACATGCCATCTGAATCAGCACTTACGATGAATTATGCTGTGAAATATACTGACCTTTATATTCTGAGTCACTGAGGCATGATGCTTCAGTCCCACTGCTGTAAGAATATTGTGACAATCCCTCATCTCTCTCACACACAAAAGCAGCACTTAGAAATCCAGCCCCATACAAATCCTGCTTTGTTGTGTGGATGTCAAACCAGCATCTACTATTTCTGCACTCTTCTGAGCTCGTGGCTTTGTACAGTCCACTCTTGACCCGAGCATGAGCTGTTCTCTGAGTTCAGACATGCCTTTAGGGCTGATCTGTCACTGAACAACTCTGGAGAACTGAACAGGTGGCTCTTACACGCATTTGCTAATGAGCGTGTTTAACTACCTGTGTGAGTAAGACGGGGAATATCAAACGGCAGTTCCTGAGTGTGGTAACTTTCAACAATTTAGCAACAGCTGTCACTTGGATTCATCTTTAAGCTCAAAGCGGGGAGGTAGAACACTGTTCAACTACAAAGACTCTCATGTCAAACACTAATCACAGGGCTGTTTGTGTTAGTCACAGACACAGAATTGTTCCCACAGACAGAAGCTACAGAACATCCATTCAGGTTCACGAGAGAGGTTTTAAATAATACGGTACTTTAAGGTAATTACAAAAGATTATTTACTGAGGTGAATGTGAGGTCAGATAACTGCCCTGCTAACAGCTTAGACAAGCATGCATTTCCATGCATATTCAGGCTGGTTTGCAATAATTTAACTTGTGGACTAACTTTTTTTAATTTTATTTTTAAGAAATTGATCATTTTTCAGCAAGAACAACATTTAAGAGATAGTTCACCAAAAATGAAAATTCCGTCATCATTTACTCACACTCACACTCATTTATTTTATTTTTTTATTTTTTATTTTTTCCTTCTGCTGAACATAAAAGATGTTTTTAAAAATGTGGGTAACCAAACAGTTTCTGGTCCCCATTAACTTCCATAGTATTTTTCCCAGTAAATGCTGACAGAATAGGATAGATAGATAGATAGATAGATAGACAGATAGATAGATAGATAGATATTTTTGGTATAAAAAAATGGCACATCACTTTAAATTTATCAAAAGTGACAGAATATTTATATTGGAAATAAATGTTTTGTATCCATCAAAGAATGCTGTTTTCAACACTGACAATAATACAAATGTTTCTTGAGCACCAAATCAGCATCACAGGAATAAATTACATGTTAAAATATCTTAAAATTGAAAGCAGTTACTTTTAAATTGTAATATTATTTTACAAAATTACTGTATTTTACTGTATTCAAATAAATAAATATAAAAAACTTACAGACCCTAAACTTTTGAATATAGTTTAACTATGCAGCAAAATTCTTTAACCTCAAAATATTCTAGAGACAGTATTTTAAATAAATAAATAAATGAGCTCAATTATAAACAATTCAAGAGACACAAGTAGTCAATGTCTCTGCACTTGATAGAGTGATTTCTACCTCTGGCCTCTAAAATTACTTTCATCTGTAAAATACAATGCATTGTTGATTTTTTCATTGTCGTTTAACCTGAGGATTTACTTGAAGATTTTAAAGACGATCATTTGTTTTTCTTTGGAATAACATTCATCTGTGAGACCAGAAATATAAGAAGTAAAGAAGTAGAAATATGCAAATATTATGCCACTGAAATGATACAGAACATTACTGAAATTTGACCAGTCTTAAATAAGTGAATAAACTTTTGCCATTTGTTGCTTTTTACATGTAGCTGACCTGCGTGAAGGTGCAATCTCTATAGTCCTAAACATAAAGCCAATCTAAACCTCAATCAACACACAAACATCTCAAAAGAGCTTCAGCTCAGCTTGCGGTAAATAGCGCAGTAAGTGGGGGCGTGTTAGAACGAGCCGTTTTAGGTAGGCGTGGTTGACTCTTAACTTTTATAAAGAATATCTCTTTGGATTTGAGACTTTAGTCTTTGCAACTTTACAGATCTTCTTTATGCACCAAGAGCTTGTAACACTCCAAAGAGAAAGGAAAACTTAAAATTGCATCATATGACCCCTTTAATACTATAGATTAATACTTAATACTTAGAGTGTTTTCAGTTTGTTTATTTTCATATAAAAATACGGCATGCAGTTGCATTAAACAATGGTATAAACATCATTCAATGTAAATTGTGATAATCGTAATTAATAATCACAATTACAATTTCAAGGGAATAATCGACAATTATGATTTTTGTCATAATTGTGCAGCCCTACCAGACATATCAGATTATGACTGCTTCACCTAATAAAAAAATTAAATTAAATTAAATTAAATAAAAAACACTAAAGCATTGAATTTTTATTTTTAAATTAAATTAAATTTGAATCATAATTTGCAAATAATCCTAAAAGATACTAATGGAATAAAAAAAGAATACTGCTAAGGATTCCTATCGCAATTATAATATATTGGAATTATACAGTATTTAAATAATTATAATAATTCAAAAAAGAGTGTACAGAATTACTGTTGAAATATTACTATATTAAATTTAATTTAATCTGAATCATAATTTGCAAATCATCCTAAATAATTCAAATAAAAATTCTGTTAAACATTCATATTGGAATTCTAATTTATT